GGAAGTTTAAAGAACACAGATATAGAAAGGGTTTGGGAGCAATGGATAAATAAGATCTGTATGGAAAACAATATAAAAAGAGCTTTATAAGAGATTTTGCCTTGGAAAGGTGGAGTGTGAAATCAGTTTTGAGGGAGAGATGGAAGACTCATTCTCTGAAATGGGAAACATAAATTAGGGAACAAAATGCACAAAGATAAATCCAGGACAGGAAGCTGGAAGAAGAACAGGCGAAGATAACTCCAGAGATGATAATCCAGTTCGAAATGAAAGGAAAAGAACTCTCGAGGCTGCTTTTGGCTAATCCCACATCTGTATTTGTTACAGACACTGGAGTCTTGGTTTTGGGGGAGGCAAGTGACTTATCAACGTTGACATGTGCCTACCAGACTTGTTGAGCAATCAGACAAGGTTTATAATTACTTTGCCATCTTTCTGATATGTGACAATTTAGAGCTGTGTACACACTGATTTCTGTCCAGTAGATTCTGTTCCATAAATCCTCCATTAAATTAACCTCAGATAGCTGACATCACCATGTCAGAATCTTACCCAATGTACCTACAAGTTAATAAACACTCCCCCCTGAAAAGCAAGATGTTCTCTCCCTTTAAATTGTTAGGACTAGTAGGGAATATCACATTCTTCTAGTTCAACACTTCTTTCACTCATGTACTAATTCATTCAACAAATATTTCCTGAAGATCTCCTCTAAGCCAGATCAGGTTCTTGTTCCCAAGCCTCTACAGTATATTAGGGAACAGAAATACTGACTACTAAACTAAAAAATTACTTCAAGTATGGTAAATATTAAGAAGGCAATAAATATGGTAATATGAAGGAATTATTGTGGAGGAGCTAAGGGATTAGCTATGTTAGACAGGTTTTGGGGGATGCATAAAAGAACTCTTTGAGGAGGTGACATTTGAGCTGAGATTTGGAGGAAGACACGAAGCCAGCTGAGGTTAGGCACAAAGGAAACAATAGTGCCAAGGCCTGAGCTGGGAACAAGAAAAATACATTTGACAAAAACAAGCAGTGGGAGAAGATAAAACCAACAGAGGCTGGAGAGGTAGGCAGGATACACTGAAGTTAACGAACTCACCCAGGGCCATAGCATTATAGGTGAGTAACCAAGGAGGTAAAATGGAGGTTACGGAGAAGTGACATGCACAGTAGACTAGACAAACAATCCCATGGAATAGTGACATTTGAGAGGTAGAAGGAAGAGAAGTAGCACATGAAATAGGCAGGGATCCCAAACTCAAATGCCTTCAGTGGCCAGACAGGTATCATAAACACGTGAGGCAAATGTTGGTAAGAGACAGGGAGTTGGGGGAGATGTAGTGACCTGAAGAATAAGTGACATGCACAAGAGCATTCAGGCTCATTAAAATACTTGGCAGGTGAAATAAAATACATATGAGGAGGCAAGCAGAGCCCATGGACCATCAGTATGCAACAAAGAACGGGAGGAAAAGTAGGAAGCAGGCTGAGAATGAGAAAAATCAATAGAGCATGGTCTCACATAACTCAGAGGAGAGCTATACTTATATTTCTATGAACTACATAAAAAAGTTTGTTTTTAACAGACAGTAACCCAAACGCTGTAATACTGATAACAACAAAAACTCATACTATTTGTTACAGAACTTGCCTAACCTAAAAATAAAGGTGATGATCCAATGGGCCAGATTTGTAAAGACTGGAATCACAGAAGCAAGTGGTCCCTCCAAGGACTGGATGTAGAAGTCATCCCGAAGGATCATGGTCATCTACTCTGTGCTGGCATAGATCCAGGAAAGGGAAGCTCCCTCGCCTCTCCAACAACACACATATACAAGGCACTGTAAATGTTCAATAAAGTTCTATCAAATTGATCTGTTGTTATGTGGAGCTGAAATCTGGTTCCTTTTAGCCTAAAAGTCCCAGATTCCTCCCTCTCCCCCACCCCGCCTGCCAGAGACACAGAGATCATTTAATACTTTCCCCACCCACCAGTCCTTGGTATGTTTAGAAACAGTGACTGTCACTGTCTTCCCTTCTCCAGATAAAATATCTCCACCTTCAACTACACCCCAGATAACTGCATCCAGATGCTGTCATCTCAATCATCTGTCTATGAACCTTCTCCAGTTCGTCAATCTCTTTCCTGAAACAGGGTCCAGGGAGAACACCACATTCCTAGCCAATTTATAATCCAGGGCTTCTTTACGCATCATTTTCTATTTCCGCAGTAGCAGGAACACAATTACATTTTATGGAGCCCTGTCTCCTGCTGTCCCTGTTTCCTTCCACACCCTCCAAGGCAGTCTGTTGTGTTTCATGGACAGATACATAATCTGGAGTGAGAGCTCCCATCAGCATAAAGAATGCTGTCCCTCATCACTCTATCGTTTTTGATTAAGATCACTCAGTTTAATGTACATTATGTCTTGTACCAATAATGCCTGTGCAATGCCTCATGCTTCTTGTGCCACTTTCTAGACATTATCTTATTATGTGCTGAAACTGGAAATGTATATTTTTTATACAGAGGAACATGAATATGAGGATGAATAGTTAAAGGCAGAGGGAAAATTGGAAATCTGACCCTTGAAAAGAGTGTTGAATGGAGGCATCCGATGATCTGGCTTTGAATCCAAGATCTCCCTTTACCACTAACTGCTAGTCTTTTAAAAACAAAATTAATGATCATAATAGGAAGAGAACCACTACCTATTAATAAATACCTAGTAGGTGCCAATCCTCGTAACAAGCTTTTTACGTACAGTATGTCGTATGTTTCATACAACAAGCTTCTGAAAGATGATATTCAAAGTTAAAACACAGAGTTGCAGCGACTTGCCCCATGTCACAAAATTAGCAGCTGGCATTTGGATTTAAATCTAATTCTGCTTGTCTCCGAAACTCAATCCCTTTATAGTTTCATATCACAATTTCCCTTAGTGGGTACTATCTATACCATCATCTATGACTTAGCAGGTAATTGGGAAAAAAAAACTCTAATAATAATTCTATCTCCAAATAGGTAGAAACAGGAACATGTGTTGCCTCATCTATGGGGTTAGAAACGCTGTGAGAGCAATCACACCAGGGCAAAAGAGTAAGGGACAAGAGAAAGGCCACACGCCAACCTTAGCGTAGGACATCATGTCTCGAACTTGGCTGAAATATAGCCCCACGGCTCCTGTCATGAGCGCATGTGGAATATAAATAAGATTTCAAGGTGACAGTTCAACCTAAGAAAACATTGTTTTCAAGCACTTTTAATAACACTTTAGCAGTATTCACTTGTATATAAATCATGTGCTAATTTATTCATTAAAATAGCCTGTACTTGGCAACATTTTATTAACCTTAGTTTATGCTAATAAGATCAGTACTCATATTTTTTTAAATGCATCTCTTTATAATTACTCCATAATTCTAATTTTCTTCCAACTTGAACTAAGCCCTTACTAACTCCAAGTCACATTTTACATCTAATGAAAATAAGTTCAAATTACAATATAGGATATAACTTTGAGAAAGCACAAATTTGAGGGAGACACTATTCCCAAATCTAGCCATGATCAGAATCTCCTGTACACTTTCTTACACTAATTACTAATTCCAACGTGCCTCTGCAATCTACTGGATCAGAATCTCTAGGGATGAGATCTCTGGGGAATGGAGATTTGCAGCAATTGGTCAAAATATCAGTACTTAGGAACCAGTAACTAGAACATTTCCACCCTGCACAGGCCTATTGCAGCTCTTGGAAAACACAGGAGGCACAATACAGTGGGGGATGTTTCAAAAGCATGATCAGCAGTTACCTCATGGGATCCAGTGAGTCCCAGAAAAATTAATCGTAAGTCTCATTATTAACTGAGGACTTCTCAGACTTTATTTTCAGGCTCTGGGTAGCCATTTTAATACCCACTTACTGCAAAGAAACACTATAAATACAAAATAAGACACACAAATACAATAAAAAAAAAACCTACAAATATAAAACCAGGTGGAGAAAATCATAGGGGTAGAGCCACATGATGAACAACCAAAACTTTTTTTAAAAGTTCTTTAAACATTGTTCTCAAGTGGTTAGAAAAGGAGTATCAAATAGATGACAAAACTGGTACCTCTTTGGTATCTGACACCTGTCGTGGACACTGCTAATCAATCACAGCATTTGTCTTTGTTTCATTCAGAAATAGCCTCAAAACACCTTCCAACCATGTACTCAGGTCACCACTGCCATCTGATCATTCGGGGAAACATATGTGCCCTTCCCTGGCTCGAATAAGTAGTTAAACTGAAATTACCATCTAATATTTTATACCAGCACACCAATTATAGGCTATACACAGAGTGGAGACAGACCCCTAAAGTTTCTTCCTATGGTAGATGAGACCATAGGAACAGCCCATCTTGCTACCTCATCTCTCTAAGTGGCTTCACATTTATATTTTTGAATGGAAATATCCAGAAATCAGCTGTTAAGATGTTTATGATACACGGGTGGCACTCATATCATTCAAACCAACTGGTTTCTGCTGACAATAATTCAAAGTTTCATTCTGAATAAATGCTATTAGGAGAGACAAGCTGAGTTCCGAATGGTCTTTAAAATCATATGTAGCATTTGACTAAAAAGAAAATACATGAGTTGGCTTCATTTCCATTGGTCAGTAGCACTACAGATTTTCTCCTATGGAGACTCTGGGCCACATCTCCACACAATATTTAGTGTTCTGGGGAAATAAGAGGGCAGAAATCACCAGGACACTTGGTTTCTGCCATGTTTCATTTGAAAAAGAAAATGATTATAATTCATTTGTCTTTGGTTCCTATTAATGGCCATTCTTGGCTCCTTGGCCTCTACTGTAACTCCTCAAGTCATATTGGGTGGAATTCCACCCATATATTCAGGGTGATACCTGGTTCATCAGCTTGATTTCATCATACCGACAGCCCCTGTGATCAAACAATAAGATCAGAGAGAGCAGACCCACCTCATCATAGATGCTGTCATTCCTGTGAAAGTCTCCAGCCTTCCTTGGAAGAACGTGGACGTGAACATGCTAAAAATGTACAAGAAAGAAAAAATGAAATGTGATTATCTCCCCCACATATTTCTAGACTTGACAGTGATGTTCCCATGAAACCCAATTACTCCACACTGGTTCCTACTGGATTATTTTTCAGAGGAAGATGATGTTCACCTTCAATATCTGAAATCTGTGGAGAATAGAAGCACAAAACAAAAGAGAGCAACTTGGTGGCATATAGGAAAATCTGAGTGAAATGCCAGAGTGTTTTAGGGGGTCTGTGGAATTATTCATAGCTGTCAGTCTTGGCTGTATTTAGCTAGTGCTTTGAAGTGACAGCATGGTTTAAAAAGGTGACCACAGTGACTCTGAAAGCGACAAGAAATAAGAATTGGCCAACAGAGAATTGCATAAGAGCAAATAAGTGAGAGTAGCAAAGAGTGTGGGCCAAGTTACAGAATCAAGGCTTTCAAGTAAAAATCATATAAAAGAAATATAAATAGTCCTCCTTTTTAAAACATGCTCTATGCACATTCTAACAAAGCTCTATGCTTAGCATTTATCTCATTTCACTGCTCCGAATAATCACATGAACCAATTTCTACTCTGTTAGTCAATTTACAGATGAGGAAAATCTACTCCTAGAGTGGTCGAGGTCCCATGGGAGGTGGCAAAGTGGGTGCGGGAACCTGGGAACCCAGGTCTTGGGGCTCTTGGCCTCCCCCACTCTGTGAGCACTGCTGCTCATTCTGTGAGGTCGATCTATTAAACAGCCCGTGTCTCCAGTCCATGAGAGCACCGGGTAATACACATAGTGCCATTATGCAGAGATCATGAATCAAGGCACATCGCATATCTAATTCAATATATTCTTCAAGGCTAAACTGCCATTTGAAAGTTTTACTTTCCAAATAGCCTCTATTGTACCTCAGCTAAAGTTAAACCTCACTCCTGCCCTTGAGCTATGTTCCCGCGTTTATTACAAACCGTGGGGAGGAATGTGAAAATGAAAAGCCTAAGTGTAGAGAGGCAGACAAAGAATCAAACTTCGTCCCTGATCACGCCCACCCCTTCTTGATTACGGAGATCAGGCTCCGAGCTTTTCCAAAGGGCCTCTGGAGAATGTGAGATTAAGTGTCCCCGTGGCTTTGCTGCACAAGGAGGGGAAAAATGATATGCTATTAAGGCAGAGGCAGGGAACAGGCGGTCCAAGGTGAACGAACACAGAAGAGCTGCACATCAGTCCCTGAGTGCACAGTCCCCAAAGAAAGACATGTTTTCACCAGAATATTCTCCAGTCAGTGATGATGGCGGTCCTGGATTGCTCAGCAACTGGGGGACGACTGTGTACTTAAATTACCAAGACTGTGTGAGCAGAGGGATGCAAGGGGAACAAATAAGCAAAGAAATAGAAATTGCACACAGCCCCTGGAACAATGTCTTAGGAGAAAGTACTAGAGGATGTGTTTGAGCTGGAATGTGCTGAAGGACATGGGCTGGTTGACTTCAAGGTGAGACCAGAAAAAGGCAACAGTACAAGGCAATAGCCCACCTCAGAAGGAGGCTTCACTCAACCCTTGCTTCCCAGACCTCAGCTCTCCTTCCCTCCTTTCTTTCTTTCCCCTTTATATTCTTTTCTCTTTCCTTCTTTTCTTCTATCAACTCACCCATCATCTCCCTTGTACATGTAATAATCAGATATTCCAAACTAGTGTTCTCTAGCCAAATGGCCTAATGGGAACCCTGGACTGACCATTTACTGGCCATGGCCCTTGCCTCAGAAGGAGCTGTATCCCTGTATCCTCAGGGGCAGCAGGGACTGTAATAGCCTCTACCTCACATGGTCATTAAGAGGATTCAAGTCTGTGAAGTCTGCACTCAGCAGGCTGCTTAGCACATAATCAGTACTCAATACATGTAGCTACAGCATTATTACTCTTATTTTTTTTTTACTTGTTTTCATTATCATTTTTTTAAAACCTTCAGACCAAGTAGAGATCACATTCAGGGACTAGATCCCAGGCAAGCAAGGAAGATATTTAAGAAGCTCTTTGGGTGGGGCATGGTTCTAGTTTGCTGCTACAGCTTGTTGCTCTTGCTTTGATTAATGGTTCTCAAAGTTGAGCATGCACCTGGGCTTGATGAGACACAGATTACTGGGCCCCCAGAATGGGCATTTCTAACAAACTCACAGGTGGTGCCAATATCACTGGCTTAGACTCTCCATCTGGTTCTTGATCTCTTTCCTGCCAAATGTGACCAGAGTCACCAAGGCCACTCACTGTTTTGTCTGCCCTCTTGTGTTATGGAAGACCTATTACTAAATGCTCCTTGGCCTCCTACTGTCTGGTCACTCTCTGTGCCTTGTCCTTGAGGGTGTGGCTGTTGTTGTGCACTAACGATACAGGGCTGGATATGAACTTAATATAGCAAGGGAAACTTTTGGGTCCAGGACCATCCTGTGCCTCCTTTTCTTTACCTTGCTTGCCTGGGTATAGTGTTCAGGGCTATCTCTATAAGTTCTGTTATCACCCAGTCTTGGAAATGTCATTCCTGATCATTGGTAACCATTTGAGATTTACTGTGACACTGATGACAACAAACAGCTCACTATGTAGGTGATTCTCCCCAAGGGCACAGACCTCAATCCAGCCTGAGATCTTGATATAAATTCTTAAGTGACAGACTGATCACAAGATCCTGACAACCCATTCAACTGCTCAGAAAAGGGAAATCATGATACCAGCTTACAACTTCACTGTTGTGAAGGAATACCATTACCATGCCTTCCCATAGAACAGTATTCCGATAAAACAAAAATAAAAAAATAAAAACAACCAAAGCCCTATGAACAGCACACATGGAGACATTTTTGATAAAACCTGTCCTTAGTGAATTCACACTGAGTCTTGGTAATCACAACTTACTTTTCTAAGTGGTAGCAAAACCTCTACTTACTAAAGCACTCCAAAATTTTGCCAGGGTTCTTTTTTTTTTTTTTTTTTTTTTTTTTTTTTTTTTGCTGGGGTTTAAATTTTGCTAGGGTTTCAAGCAGTTTAGCTACTTGAGTTAGGATACTTCAGAAAAGCCATGACATATTCCACATCAAAGAAGTTTTTACAGCCAAGTAAAATTTCACAATGCTCATTAGCATATTAAGATACCAGACAAGAACCACATTAAATACACTTAACTAAATACATTCAATTAGCAACCAAGAAACTTATTTAATAATAGAGATCTCAGGTCCTTATTTATATAACACCTATTTATACTTTTCTAGTACAGTTTTTCATGCAAAAATATTTATAACCAGGTGCTACTCTAAGAACCAGGGATATAGTAATAAACAAGACAAAGCCCCTGCCCCCACAGAGCTACATTCCAATGGGTGATGCAGAATAAGTAAGTAAATATACAATTTAATTTCAGGTGAAGATAAGTGTTATGGAAAAAATGTAGCTGGCAGAGCTAAAAATGCAGAACTGGGACACTTAAACATTTGAAGTTTGGGAAGGAAAAATAAAAAAAGAACTCAACTGAAGGATACGATGAAAAAAAGAGACAGGTCAGGAGAGGGTCAGTGTTAAAGCTGAGAAAGGAAGGAATTTCAAGAGGGAAGGAATAACCATTAGTGTCAATGTTGTTAAAAGCTTGAGTTGGAAACCAAGGAGATAAACACTTAACTGAAAACAGATTCAACATCGTTAGACAGTCATGAAATGCAAAGCAAAGCCACACTGAAATATCACCTCTCATTCAACAGAATGGCAACTAAAGAAAAAATGAAAGGCAAGATAATTACAAGTGTTGGCAAGAATATAGAGAATTAAAGCCTTCATACACTGTTGGTGAGAATATAAAATAGTATCACAGCTTTGGAAAATAGTTTCACACTTCCTCGAAAAGTTAAACAGTTTCCATATAACCCAGAATTCCACTCCTAAGCATGTACCCAAGAGATAGGAAAAACATATGCCCACATGAAAACTTACACATAAATATTTATGGAACTATTATTCATAAGAGCCAAATAGGGAAATGGCCCGAATGCCCACCAAGTAGTGAATGCACCAACAAGATGTGGTATAGCCAGACAATGGAACATGATTCGGCCATAAAGATGAACGAAGAACTGCTAAGTCCAAGAATTACACTAAATGAATTATGCCACATAAAAGAAGCCAGACATAAAAGGCCAGATATTGTCTGATTCCATTTACATGAAATGTCCAGAATAGGCATATCCACAGAGACAGAGAATAAGTTAGCAGTTCCCATAGGAGAATGGGGAGTCAGTTAATAGGCATGAAGTTTCTTTTGGGGATGATGAATATATTCTAGAATTAGATAGTCGTGATGGTTGCACAACTTTGTGATTATTCTCGAAAAACCTGGAACTGTACACTTTAAAAAAGTGAATTTGATGTCATGTGAATTATATGTCAATAAAGCTGTTATTTAAAAAAAGATACTGATGTGGATTTAAGAGAGAGGAGAAGGTGAAGTAAGGGAGATAAATAACCACAGACAACTTTCTAAGGAAAAGGAGTCTTGCAAAGAAACCAATGCTGATACCGGCAGAGGAGGAAGGAAATCATTTTTTGGGAAATGCTGATTGAAGTTTCCTGAGCCTATGAGTTTCTACAATTATCATTATTATCTTTAGTACTAGAAATTGCTGTTAGCATTTATTGAGAGCTCACTACAATGCCAGTCCCTGAGACCACTGACGTCATTTCAATGAAGCTTTCTAATACTCCCACGAGGTGATTAATAAATGCATTATCATTTCTAGGTGATAAAATAGACCCAAAGAGAATAAACAACTTGCCCAAGCTTCTGCAGGGAGTGACCAAGAGCTGAAATCTGAACCCGAGTCTGTTGTGACACCTTCTCTTAAGAGGCCACCCTGCTTCTTCCAAATATCCATTCCAAATACAAGGACTCCTCTTTGCCATGGCTCCTTGACGCCTCTCTCAAGCTCTGTGATTTCCCACTAATGCCTTTGATCACATCTGCAGGTCCTTTTG